TTTTAATTATAAATAGTAGAATAACTTCGAATTAAAAAGTATAGTCTTTACTCTATTTATAATAATTCGATTTTATATCTTATTAAATTTATTTTATTTAAATATATAAGATATAATAAACTCTTATATAATTTCGAAGTTTTTAAAATATTCTTTAAATTTATTATTAATAAATTCGATATTATTATTTAGATAAACTATCTTAATCTTATAATTAAATTTATTTTTTATCTAAATTTTCTAATTATAAAATAATTTAAAGATTTTATTTTTATATTTATATATAAAGTATTAAATTTAATTAATTAATTAATTAATTAGAAATATATAATACTTAATCTTATTAATAAATAATATATTAAAAAATTCTCTTAAATCTATATAAATCTTATTAAGTTTTTTAAGTACTTTATATTATATTCTTCTTAAAATCTTTTATATAGATTTAATCTTAAAATAAATCTTATATATTAATCTAACTCGAGGTTTCTAAATTAGTATAATACTCTTATTTATATTAATAAATCTCTTAAAATCTATTTTATTTAGATATTTTATTTAACGATATTATAGCTCGATAGATTTTTTATTAAAACTTTTATATTCTTTAAAATAAATATTAAAATCTTAATTATAAATTATAAGATATTAAGAATATAGATATTATTTATCTTCGAAGCGCTACTAATAAATTTATTACTCTAAAGAATATAATAATTATTATTAAAAAAGATAATTTTAAATTCTTTTTATATAGTTTAATTAATTAAAAATAGTTTATATATAAAATTCGAATTATATAAGATTTTATTAACTTTTATAATATTACTAGAATTATCTTATAATAGCTATTTTATTTTAACTATATTACGATTTTATATTTAAATAATAATTTTTATTAGTTATTATAATATTTATATAATATAAATAATAATTAATAAACTCGTTTTTATTAAAGAATATATAATTAATATAATCTAAGTTTATTATTTATTTATATATAGTAGTAGATTAATTATTTATATATACTATATAGAAGAGAAATTAAGTTAAAAATTCGTATAATAATTTATTAATTATTTTATCCTCTAAAGAATTAAGTAAAAAGTTAAGAATATTTTTAACTTCTCGATTTATCTTATTATCTAATTTTAAGCTAATATTAAATTAAAGTATTAATTAATTTATTATATTTTTTTATAATTTTTATAATTTAGTTATTTCGATTAAGAGATAATTAAGAATCTTAATTTCGAGCACTTTATTTATTATCTCTTTATTTAATTTAGATATTAAGCTATTAGCTAAATAATCTTAATACTCTTTATCTCTTATAATATCTTTATTATTAATTATAAAATAGATTAAATTTATTATAAAAATAAGTATAATTTTAGTCTATAAAATCGTTCGACTTATTACTTATATTAGCTATATTCGCTTTAAACTTAAAATTCGAATTATTATTACTATTATTTCGAAATCTATTAAATATCTTTTCGTTATAAAGAATTTAGTAGCTAAATAGCTAGTATCTCTTCTTACTCTTATTTAATAGTAATAAGTATTTTAAATACTTAGATATATTACCTAATCTCTTATAGTAAATACTATTTAAATTATTTAATAGAGAAATTAAAGTTATAATTATTATTTCTATTATTATTTTCATCTCGATCTTATTTTAAAATATTATTTTTATATTCTAAATTATTATTATCTTTAAAGATCTTTTTATTCTTTTATTTTTTAGAGAATTTCTTTATAATAACGATTATAATTTATTTCTTATTATCTTACTTAAAAAGACGATTTTCTTTATAAAGAAGTATAATAATTTTATTAAAGTCTAATATATTATTAAGTTATATAATAAGATAATATATAAATTTCTTATATTTTTTATTTAAATTATTTAATAATAGAATAATAAATATATATTTATTAATTAAAGCTTTTATATACTTAAGATTCTTAGATTTTATATATATATTAATAATATAAATCTTAATCGAGTTATTATTATTAATTATAATAATTTTTAATAATTTTTATAATTTAATAAAGCGAAGAATAAATTTAAAGTTAATATAGTTAATATAAAGTCTAATTTATCTTATTATAGCTATCTTCTTATCTTCTATTACTTTAATTAATTTATCTTTATATATTAAGTAAATAAATTTTAATACTTAATTATTAAAATTCTTTTAGATCTTTAATTTTAATATTATAAGTTAAGATTTATTAGTTAATAGATCTCGATATAATAATTCTTATACGATAAATTTTATTAGCTAATATATTTATAATAATAACTTTCTCTAATAAATCGTCTTAAAATAGTATTAATTTTTATTTTATTATATTCTATAGATCGTAATACTTTAAAAAACTCTTTATCTTCTTTAATTATAATTAATAATTTTTCTACTTTTTAAGCTTTAGAAAATTCTAGATCTAAATTAATATAGCTATATATATATTAAACGTCTAGCGATCTATATAATTATCTTATATAACTATTTATAGAAAAATAAATAAAAGAGTAAATAGAAAATATATAATAAGAATATAGAAATATTCGTTTAACTTTTATAACACTAAATTATTAAATAGATAAATATTTTTAATTAATAATATAGAGATTATAATAACGAAATTTCGAGCTTATAATTATTAAAAATAATATATACTTAATAATCTTAAATTATATAGAATAGTTATTTATTATTATATTCTATAAAGAAGTATATAGAAAGAATAGAGATAATTATCTATCTATAATATAAAGCTACGCTAAGGCTATTTGCCACCATAAGGCGTAGTCATAATACCTATTTGGAACTTAGTAGTGTGTAGAAATGCTGGCCTCCTATTGGCTGATTCCAACACGCAGGTAACAGAACAGTTGTAGTCGTCCTCGGCTGATCACTGTCATCTGTGTCCGCGTTTCTCTTTGCATTGTGACGTTTTCAGACCTCTGTTGGTCGCAACGTAAGGCCCCAACCGAGCTCGACGAACGTTTGCGCAGCCTGAACTATCCGCCACGAGCTGGACAAGGATATCTTGCCTCTCCTTCACTGGCTCCGTAATATAATAACGCACCAATTTCCAGATCTTCCGCCACGAAATGTGCCACTAGAAGAACGTCACCTTCAAGTTTTTTTTCCCCCCCAAAATTTTTTTTTTTTAAAAAAAAAAAAAAAAATTTGTGAAAAAAAAAAAAAAAAAAAATTCAAGCTTCTCGACCTCCACGAAGGTCTTAGTTCTCCCCAAGCCTTAAGGAAAACCTAAAAAACTTTTTTTTTTTTTTTTTAAAAAAAAAAAAAAAAAAAATGTTGGTTTTGGGGGAATTAAAAAAAAAAAAAAAAAAAAAAAAAAAAAACTCCCTCTCTCTTGTTTGAAAAAAAAAAAAAGAGGCCTTACCGGCTCTATATGTCCTCTCCTTCGTTTACTCAGCCCGGGAAGCCTTGCGGAGAAAGATCACGATCGCATCTATCTCGCATCAGTTGGCCCGTGGTTGAATGAAGAAGGGATACTACCTCCGCCAGGATCTGAGCTAAAGAGAGCTTGGGGGGTACGATCATGAGATGGGAGGGGGATCTGGACTCTGAGTTCCGGGCCAAGGCTGGAAGTTTTTTGGGTGGGAGCTCGATTGGCATCATTCTTCTCGAGATGGGGTTTGGATAGGGTGATTGGTTGAGAAGGAGAGAAGGGGGGCTGTGTTTGTTCGGTTTCATTGCTCGATGCTCTGCTTTGGGATTGGTAGAGACGGGTACCCTGGGAATGGGTACCCACTAAGACAACTGGGATTAGTTTATATGGATGAACGATTCTCATTGCGTTGTCCTTCGTGAGCTAATCAGTACCATGCTAAATCAAAAGCTGTTCGTCAGTGATAATCACATCCCTTTTCGCCAAGCAGACCGTCCCTCGGCTGAACATTGACGTTCAGCCCCATGCAGCAATATTTAAAACAACCCACAGCTCATTGAGTATCCAGAGTACATAACAACCCTTGTACACGAACAATCCGTGATTACGCGTCCCAACGCCTAATCCCCGGGCGGACGCCGATGAAAGTCGGATATGGGAAAATCGAGTACCTGTTACATGTCATTAACGGTTGCACCCATGCGGATAGGCCTCTACATACCCACTTTAAGGAGAGTGCAGAAGTTTTGGAGGATGGCTGTCTTGAGGATTGAGATTAGTTGTGTGGGAAGAGATGGTGTCTATGGAAGTCGAGAAATTGGCTAGAAGATTGGTTGCATGGATCTCTGGCTTTCCAATAGTGCTATCTCGCAGGTAGGCTGCGTCAACACTGCTTGAGCATAAGTGGAATAGTCGGAGAATGTGTTATGTCGCTCTAGCAAATATATCTTCGGCGTTTTCGGATTACCTTCTTTCCTTCCTTCTCACCACTTCGACATTGCTTTCTTCTCACCACTTCGACACCGTTTCGGAACTCAAACACAAAACAAACTTCTGCCCGCAAAGGTCTATTCTGATAAGTCCCAGAATTTCAGCAAATACCTCGAGCCCTCCTAGTTGAAACGGCCAGCTGTGCGCTCGTATCTTGCAGGCATCGAAGTCACACCATCACTCTGGAAACACTGGATCGCTCTCGGTGAGTTTTTCCTCGGGCAACTCGCTGCCCTGCAAAGGTTTTCTGACTCTTAGAGCTCTTTGAGCATCCTCCATTCGGTGACTCAATCCTCTTGAGGTTGCAGAAAACCATCAACACACCTCAAGCCTTTCGACTTTCAACACACACAGTCTGTGGCAAATCCCGAAAGACTGTCTTGTCAACACCCTTCACAAAATACCAGACTGGTCTAGAAGTCTCGAATCTATCACTATATCCCAAGCAGTCTGCCGAGCCGGCTATCCACTGCTAGGTCCTGGATTCCTTCCCTTCATACCTGGTGAAGCCGACGGATTGACTCCTCCTCTTCTTTCTCCATTTCAACGACACAGAGTTGTCCAGGGCAGTTATGGACTCTTCAGATCAAGACCATTTTGATAAAGCTAGGTTCGCAACTGTACTGCGGAACTTGAGGCGAGACAACATTCCGTCTTTTGCATCTGCAGTTCGTTACTCAGGTCACGCTTCCACGGGTACCATCGATGTACCGACTACTCCCCGACCAGTTGGTTGCAGACTCCTATCTCACATTACCTGCGGCTCCTATAACGCCGTGTTCAAGATATTGTTTGCTGACGGGACTCTCTGGGTTCTTAAAATCCCGGCAAATGGGCACCGACAGTGTTGGAATGCACCTGCGAGTGAGGCATTGACCTCTGAGGCATTCACAATGCGTCTGATTAGACGTGGAACAACAATCCCGGTTCCAGAAGTCTTTGCTTTTGACGCCTCTCTCGAGAATGAGCTGGGATGCCCATTCATACTCATGGAGCATGTTCATGGGAAACTTTTGCAAGATGTGTGGTCTGATCAGGAGATATCTCATGCCAAGCGAGAGCAAATCCGCATAAGATCTCTACATGGCATCGCTGAAGCGATGGCGCAACTCAACTCCTTGGCTTTCAGTCAGGGTGGCTCGCTTGTTTTCGATGCCAAAGGGGATGTTGCAGGCATTGGTAGTTCGAACATAGTCGATCTCGAGGCACAGTATGCAAACATGCGCTCGGCGGACTATGACAATACCATGGCCTTCCGCCAAAATGGACCATTCAAAGATCCAAAAGCTTACTTGCTGTCTTTTCTTGATGCTCGCAAGGAAAAAGGCGAGCGCGGCATAGTCGAACAAGGCGCTTATAAGCTACTGCGCCTTTTGATTGAGTGGAGCCTAATGGATGCAAGCACCGTGGAGGAGAAGAAGCCGTTCGTTCTGGCTCATCCCGATCTTGACAGTCAGAACATTCTCGTCAATGACGATGGTTCCCTTGCTGGTATCATTGACTGGGACTGGATTGCCGCTGTACCCCATTCTATTGGACCTCAATCACTCCCGAAGTTTCTGATACAAGATTACGATCCGGGAAATTATGCTTTTGATGTGGAAGCTGGCGAACCCATGGAAGGCTGTGTTGCCGATTCACCAGCAGAACTCGCCTCTTACCGCGCGATATACGCACAATTCATGGAGTCACATCTTTCAAATAATGATCGGATGAACCTGGCTAAGAGCCGTCGGCACGCTGCGCGCGTTCGAAAGTCACGCAAGGAAGCGGCTGACATAACACGAAGATCTCTAATCACTACTACTCTGCATCTTGCGGCAAGAGCACCGTCTGAGATGCAGAAACTGATGGTGCACTTGTTCGATGAGATCGTAGAGATCACGGCTGCGCAGTGGCAAGAAGAGTCCTCGACCGCAGATTCTGGAGAACAAGACGGTAGTGAAGGTGGCAACAAAGATGGAGACACCGAGGCGAGCGATGTGGACAACAGTGATGGTGTGGGGAAGGAATTATGCGTTCACAATGCTAGATCCGAAGGGAAGGCAGTCGATATCAAGCACCTATCAATAGACGAGTTGATGGACGAGATAGAGAAGCTTATGGATATGTCATCGGCCGGCAATCCAAATCTTGACTCTACAGAAGATTCGGCACACCTTCAAGATACCTCCCCAGTTGGGGAAAATGCACCAGAGCCCGGAATTGAGTTTCAAGGGATGTGCAGAGTGGAGTATGCGAAGGAAGCTCCTAGCCCTAGAGCGGCTCGCGTTTGTGGATGGCTCAAGGAGAAGCTGCAGCGAGGAGCAAAGAGCCCTCACAAGAAGACTAGAAAGGAGGATCTTGTCACCTGTACAGCATTGCCCCCAAGCTCTGGGCCTGCTAGAGCTGCCCGAATGTTCTGCGGCTGGACTGAGAAGAAGTTGCGGCGACTGTCTCACTGCTTGCACTGCGACGACGACGATAACGATCAGGACAAAATCGGATCTAAGATTGAGGCGGTGCAAAACGGGGGGATCGATGTTCTGAAACGGTTACAGACAAAACTCAAGCAATTGAGACAGAAGTTGCATCGCAAGGGGAACAACAACTCCACGGGCTCTGAAGGCGGCGAAGAGGAAGCTTCGCGGAGAAAACAGGTCACAAGCGTATCCAAAGAGCTCACAACAGCTGAAAAGCGAACCGTCTGTGAAAAGTTTTCTCACGTGGTACGAGATAACAAGCTTTGCCTGACGGTGGACCAACAAGTTGCCGTTGCCCAGTGGATCATTCAGATGCTACAGAGCCCAGATTTTTCAGACCTGAGCCTGGGTCCTACACATGGCCCTGCAGATGGGATGGCGGAACGCCACGAAGGGGGTGAGCATGGTGGAGATTTCGATTTAGGAAATGACTCTGGATATGAAGAAGGCGATGAAGATGGAGGAGGAAGTGGTACTGATGGTCAAGGTGGAGACGAAGGTATTGGAAGACTTGGGCTTCAGGATGGTGAAGAGAACAATATTGTGCCTATAGATCAAGCCTGTAGGTCGCTGTCAGGTGAGAGCGATCATCTTGCGACAGAAACTGCAGAGACGAACTTCGACGAGGAGGAATCAAGCGAAGTATCACAAGCCGCGGGTAGTCCAAAGCCGGACAACTCCGAGCAAGTGGACACTGGATCTTTTGATCTTTTGGATGTCTGCATCGCCCTTGCGAAGGATGGTCTTGACGAGCCACGCATGCAGCGACTCAGAGACGGCTTCTTCGGACTGCTGAACCAAACATTGTGAGCAGCGCGGGCTTCGTTTGAAGGGCGCTTTGAGCCTCCTGGTTGTGGCAGAGGAGTCTTGTGAAAGGTGGTGGGGTAGCTGAAAATGGGGCGTGCGCATCACAGTGGATCATTGGGGATGCGCGCTGGAGAGGAAAAGTGGGGGGCGTGGGCGGGACTTTCAAGGGGTTTATTTGGGGCCCTGGGCACGGTTATGCGATACGGGTTTCATTGAGATGGTTGGTTTCTGTAATGCTGCTTGAGCGTGCTTGAGCTAGCCTAGGGCTGAGAGGTTTTTTCAAGCCTTTTGTTGAGCATTACTTTGAGTGCAACAATGTCAGCGGTTGTATGCATAGAATTCTAGGCAACTTTGCTAGCCGCTTCGTCAATGTTTCGGTAAATTTGTTTCTCCAGCCCCAGTTTTTCCTAAGTAAAAGATGATAGTTGTCGTACAGTCTGATCTAAGAACTCGCGTATGGTGAGTGCCTATTACCAAGTTTGTTATCCATACTTTGAGGAAGTTTGTGTCGCCACAGCTTGACTGGGGGCTAGTGAGGGCATAGCACACACTTATGGTAGGATAGCCGAGATTGCTATATTGGAAGAGCCTTGAATAGGCGGTGTTTTTATCTGTTTTTTACTTTTTATTCTTATTTCTCTCGTCATAAGAAGAGGTTTTTATATTTTTTCTTTTCTGATATTAGACGAAAGTAATTTTTATTTAGAAAATATATTATTCTTATCTATTGCTATTCAGCTACTATTAATAGCCTTTAAGCGTTCTTATAAGTCTATTGTAAAGGCTATAGCTATATATTAGACTGTTATCATTAGATCACTATCTTTATAAGAATTATTGTCATGAGATACCTCAGGGATACTCATAGGGCCACTAGCGTAGGCTTGGCACCGCACATATCTGCCTGCAGACCACATAGATAATCAACATCTTTTACTACACACACATATATGAGTCAAACCATAATGATTCCTTAACAATTGGTAGCAACACCTTAAGATCTAATTCCACTTGATCCTATGATGTAGTAGACGTCTCATTACGAGCTACGTCTACACCACACGTTTACGCAAAGCCTGCATCAAACACCTAATAGTGCAACGCTCCAAGCCGGACCTCCAATACACTCGCGTCATCGAGTACCTTTTGACACCCCGTCCAAATCGATCCTTTCACTAGGCCTGTCGATATCACAATGAACTCATACGCTGCAAGACTTGCCTCATTCACGTTATGGCCACATATATATCCAAGTGCCTCTGACGTAGCCCGTGCTGGCTTTTATCGAGAATTCGACTCTACTTTTCCATCTCCGGATCTTACTATATACTTACTATGCGGTCTTGATCCTTATAATTAAGATAGTGATAATCTATTTAATTTTCACGCTACTTGATTATTAAAGTGTTTATTTATATATATAATATAATAGAAGAAGAAGTATCGAAATTAGAAGACTTATTAGCAATATAAGAGATCTCTAAAAATTACTTAGTTAGTTACTTAGCTAGAGCACTTAGTTAAATAAGAGAAGAAGTTACTATAATAGGCAAATGCGGAGAATACTGCGGAGAAATTAAGTAACAATATGGTTACTATTATTAAGAATACGGCTTAGCTCTTTAAGACCCCACGTTATATACTCTCTACGATTTCATATTAAACTATTACTTAGCAGGAGAATATTATTATAATTTAGCCTATTATCTTCGCTATATTATTATAATATATAATTACTAAGTTAAGTATATAAGAGAAGAATCTACTACGGCGATTATAGTTAAATTACTATAGCTATAATAATTGGACCTCTATAGATAAGGGTTATATCGGACGATGTATATTTAAACGAATTGAAATCGTTCGATATCTTATTTTAATATCTATTTTACTATTCGAAAGGCTTTTACTGCGGTAGAAGAACTTATAGAATTTATATCACTAATTAGCTTAATATCTCCATTCCTTTCCGACATTTCGAAAACTTACTTATTTATATATATATACTTCTTGCTATGAGGATATGGCATTTCTCTGTTTTTTATAGGTAATTGTTATGAGATATCTTAGAGATACTTATAGGGCCACTAGCGTAGGCTTGGCACCGCATATATCTACCTGTAGATCATATAGATAATCAACATCTTTTACTATACACACATATATGATTTAAACCATAATAATTCCTTAATAATTATTCTTAAAAGAATTCTCTAATAAACCTCTTTCTCTATCTACTCTCGCTATATCTTTTATTTATTAGCTAGATCCTCTAGTAAAACTACTTATCTTATTAGATTTAATTTATAATCTCTATATTATTTAATTATAATTAATTTATTAGAAATTTAAATAGATATAGGCTAATGAAAATAATATATTTTAAAATTATAACGAACTCGCTTATATATAGAATAAGATTAATAAGATTTATATTTATTATTAGTTAGCTATCTTTATCATATATTAATCTATACTTTAAGCCTCTATATTATTAATCTATTAATTATTCTTATTCATCTTATCTTCTTAGCTATTATCTATATCTCTTTAAACTTTATAATTAACTTTAGCTCTATTATAATAGAGAATATTAATATTATCTAAAATAAAAGTAGTATTATATCGCTTTTTTTTATATTAAGATAATAATCTTATATATCACGATTTTAATAACCTTACGATCTTACTTACTTATATTATAGCCTAATTAAACTTAGCGTATTAAGGCCTTTCGACCTTTCTATCTTACTATAAATTTTATATTTATAATAATTCTATATAAATAGTATTCTCTTTATACTATAATATAGAGTTATTATATATATTATTAAGTTCTTAATATAATACTATCTATCTTTCTTCTAAAGTAATAATAATTTATTTACTAATTATATTAAATATATAGTTAAAAAGAAAGTATATTATTAAAAAGTTAGTAGCTATAACTAAAGAAGCTTACTACTCGAAAGATTATTTAAAAGAAAATCTTTTATTTATATAAAGGCTAATCTAATTAGATTAAATAAGAATCTAAAAAAAAAATATATCTTTAATATATTAAAAGAAATAGACTCTAGACTAAACCTTCTCTATACTCTTACTAGCTTAATATTAATAAATCTATTAATTTTAAATCTAGATAATATATAAAGTTAAATCGTTATAAGTAAATTATAGATATATTATTATCTAGAAGAACTTAAGAACTTCGATAAGAAGGTCTTAAATATTACTATATTATTCGCACGATATAAGAAAAAGCGTTTTATCTCTAGAAGATATATTATTAAATCTAATTCAAATTATATCGAAGTATAATTTATAAATATTATCGAAGAAGAGTTTATTATAATCTTTATATTTATCGCTAATTTATAGAATTTTATAAAAAGCGCTATTAATACTTAATATAATAGATTAAAAACTTTAATAGAGAGCTTTCGAACTACTAATTATAATATTAAGATACTTTAATAATAAAATAAAAAACTTAATTAAGATATCGCTTATACTAAGATAAAGATATTAATAATTATTATCTAGCTAAATAATAGTAATAACTAATTATCTTATAAATAAGAAATTAATAATAGACTTCGAGATTTATATAATAAATATTATATTAATACTATAGAATTTACTAAAGAAAATAAAAAACTTAAATAAGATTTAAAGTGTAAAGAGTAATAGTTAAAGAAGTAATAATCTTATATATTAACTAATTTAAAAAACTTCGATAAGAAAGATATAGAGGTTATATCTATATCTTATTAATCGAGTATTTTCGTTAGTAGTATTTATCAAAACTTACATTATATCTCTATTACGAATCGCATAGAGGGTATAGAATTAAATAAATGATACTTCGATATTCTAAATTTCTATAATACTAATAATCGAAATAAGTAAAATAACTAGCGTTAATACCTTAAAGCGAAGTTTAGATAAAGCGCTATAATCTTTTTTACTAAATTTAAGAAAATTAATTATATATAGAATTATTATAAATCTACTATATATAACGTTATTAAAATAAGAGTAGATAAAGATATCTTAGACTTATACTAAATTATCTAAGAAATAATTAATAAACTAGATAATATATTCGAAATATATAATAAGATTATTAAATCGAATATTAAGATATTTAATTTTAAATTTAATATAAGAGTAATAGATAAGAAGAAATCGTTTAAGAACTTCTACATATAATTCTCTATAGCTATCGCTTTCTTAGAATTTACTAATATTTATAAGATATTTAACTTAAAACGATTAATCTTTATATATCTAAAATATTAGATTTTAGAATAGCCTTTTAATACTTTTCGAGAATTAATTATTTTTCTATAAGTACTAAATATAAACCTTTAGACTATTAATAATATATTAGATTTAAAGAGTAAGAAAGAGACTAATAAAACTAATAAGAACTTTATCCCCTCGAATAATTAATATAATACTTTCTTTATTAAAAGAAATAATAATATTACTATCGAAAATTCTCATATATAAGAATATAAGTATCTTAAATTATTAATAAATAGAATTCGAAAAGAAGATAGATATTTTAAGTATCTAAAGATTAAATATCGTTTTAGCGATAATAGTACTCTATATAAGAATATAAATCTATTAATAAAAGAATAAATTAATATAATTCTAAAAGCCGTCGACGTTAAGAAGAACATCTTCGTCGAATTACTATAAAAATCGAAAAACTAAACATTTCTAATTAAGTCGCCGCTAGAGACCTAGAAGCCTTACATATAAGAATTAAAGAGTTAGAAATAAAAAGAATACTCGCTTTTATCTCTCTATCCGCGTATATTATTACTATTAAAGCCTCTTTATAAAATAAACGCTAATTAGACTTTTATAAAAAAATTATTATATTAATAAAATAGATTAAGATTAATTATCTCTTAAATATTAAAGCTTTAATACTAAGCTTTATAAATATATCTTTTATTAAAATAAATAAGCTACTTAAAATAGTA